GACAAACGAGAAAAGACGAGATGACCATTATTTTTCTGGAAAATAATATCCGCCATTTTTAAAAACAATTGGCCAATTTCGTAGGAATATTCGATTAATAATCGCATAGTTAATTAAATAACCAGGACTCGAAATTACGATTACATTACATTTCTACAGAAAAAACAATGTATCGATAAATTAACCGCGTACGATAGATCGCGAATCACGTGTATCTAAGTGTGCATCTTCCTATTTTTTTTTCTTTTCTTTCTTTTTTTTTTTTTTCTTAATATACACGCAATTTAAAAAGAACACGATCGGTTGTTACATAATCTCGACACAAAGAATGTATCTCCCCTGCGACGCGTTGCCCTGCGAGCAACATCCAAATGATTCTCGTCTCGCACAGAGAACCCTTCCGCCATTCGAAATCCGGGATTGAGAACCACTGGCGCTACGCTCGGTCGAGTGTAGCGAGGGGGTGAGGAAGGAAGGAAGGTGTGGGTAAGGGAGGGTAGACCAGGAGAGCGAGANTTCCGATCTCTCGCGTTTTCCCACGGGACTTTGCCCCGTGCAAACGTGCGCGCAAGGACAATGTCCCTCCGGGGACCGTTTTGCGACACCACCGTTTTGCGATCGCGAGAACGCGTTTCGCGTTGGTCAACGGGGAGACGGAGAGGGAGGAGAAAAAAGAAAAAGAGAGAGAGAGAGAGACAACAACGATACAAGACTCGTCTCGATTCCAAAGATCGTTTCCGATCTGGATATTGTTCGGGATTTGGATGGCGCGCAAAAGGTGAGGAGGGTTAAGGAAAGGGTGTCGTTGTGGAGATAGCTTTATTATTTGGGAGGGGGGGATGGAATAAATGAGACTTGTTTGTTGAGAAGAGAAAAGAAGGAGAGGTTGGAGAGATAGTCTGGTAGTCGGTTCGGCGTTTAGAGAATAATCAGGGCTAGACGCGCGAGGGATCATCCTCGGTGGTTTCCTATTAGGCGCTAATTTAGTTGTAAGCTATAGGGTTGTCAGGAATGAAAGGGATCCTCCTGGGGACGATGTTCATCCTGATGGAGGAACATCGCTCCTCCAGTTTCTTTAAGAAACATATTAAAAGGGGGATGAAACGGTCGAGACACCCTTGAGCATTTCTTGAAATTTGATCTCCGACGACTCCATTGATGTCAACCCCTTTGTTCGAAGTCACCGGCCACGAGTTTCCCCGGTGTATATGCGTTATCTTTTACAGTGGTAAGAAAAGAAGGAAGGAAAGAAGGAAGGAAGGAAGGAAGGAAGGAAGGAAAGAAAGAAAAATATAATCTAACGTCTCTTTTCCTCGGTCTATATACGCCGATTACGAAAAATGATAAATTGATAATTTTAAAAGAAACTTGTAATACGCGTTTTTTCTTTTATAGAACACTTAAAAGAATTATCTATCTACGTAATAATATGGTTGGTGATACACATAACAATAATCGAGCATAAATAACGAATGTTAAATATTAGACTTTCAATCAGCAGGTATGATTTCCAGTAATGTTAATTATCCTATAACGACGACATATTTTTTCACTGTATGTCACGTTAAACGCTTTACACTATCGAGTCACGTTTCGTCTCATTTTCTGTGTGACGTCGATGTCGCCACTTGGCGATACGCGGACCTTTTCGTTATCCGCACAGTCGTGCGTTAAATGATAACACCGTTTATTATCATCTTCGTAACTAATGCTCCGCAGTTAACCGTCTAATCAGTGCCCCAAGTATCGCGCCATTAGAGGACATTTTGCGACCGCCGCGCCATCTGTCATGTCTTTTCAATGCTACGTCCTTATCGGTGATCGTACACGACGACTAACAGACGAACAACAATACACGAAATTACACGTGAAAAGCGCGCGAGAACGATGGAATATTCCATTTCATTATCGACATTTCTTTCTTTTCTCTTTTTCAAAGAGAGAGAGAGAGAGAGAG